CAGAAATCAGTTAAATGACGAAAAATTAGGTGTCTATTTACTTGTGACCACTCAGTGTATCTTGTCTATCTACTCTGCAAATTGCAATGTTTCTCCATGATCCATGGTCATCTTGGTACGTTGTCTTCTATTCCAGGGAGGGTCTCTGTTGTCCCACAGATCATGGTTACTCAAGAGTACTCGTTGTTTCACTTGCTGGCAAGTCAGCTCAGGATAACAACTTTCGACAGCCAACAACCCTACATCTCGGATGCTTGGATTGACGAAATGTAACTTTCTTTATGGACAGTATCTCCACCACTCTACTGATCATCGGTTATGTCTTCTCCCATTGTTCACTCTTTTGCCAGCTGTCAAAATAGCTCATGTCAGTTGAGCTCATCCACCAATGGCACTTCTTATCTCTCTATCTTGAAGGGCATATCACCCAAAATGATTCCCATTCATTTGGACTATTAGACTGCCTAATCTCAATGTCAGGGTAAAATATTTTCAGGCTTTCTGGGTGTTTGAGGAAGAAGTGTGATGGCTGTGAGGAACCTTTTCAGTATTGACGGAAGTCCAAAATCCAGCAGAGGAATTATCTCAGATCTAAATACCCTTCCTGCAGAGCATTGGGCCTTAGTACCAGACTCACCCCCCTTCGGCTCAAACACCACTTTTCTGAAGAGAAATCTATCTATATGTATGCTTGAGTGACTAGAATACTCACTGGAGTATTCATAAGTTCCACCAAGTATTCACCTCAATTTACTCGCACTTAAGTGCTGGAGCATGAGAAATACCGGAAAATTATCCGATTCCAAGACATAAAGTCGCAACAATATACCCACGGGCAAATCGATACTATCTGTTAGAGAACAATACAGAAAGGTAACTAGAACGAGATAATTCAAGGTTTATCTGGTTTCTGCCAACACTCGTTGGAATATGATTAAACGAAAAGTTAAGGAAATAATTCTACATTAATTTCACATGGCGCGAAACGCCTGATATACCTCAATATCACAACATCAAAAAAATATTTCTTTGATGTAGGATAATAACGATAAGAAATACATTTATTTATATTAATTATGACTATAATACTTATATGAAATATAATATTATCTTTGTTTTAATTTTTTGAATGCAATTACCTTGAGGTCTAAAGTTCAAATACACTAATGAAAGCGTATGACAAGTGCCTTCTCTCAAAACGTTATTAATATTTTCATGTCAGTGTTAAATAAAAATATTCCTCTTCTCTTATCTATTTAACGATAATTGATGTTGTAATTTTATTGTAAAATTCATATTATTTAAATTATAGATTTATGTTAAGTTAGTTCTTTTTCTGATATCCAGGTGTCTATTTTTAGTCCTCACACAGTACTGTGATATATAAATTGTAACGACGTGATCAACTTATATAAAGTAATTATAGTTTTAAAAATATATCTTATTATTATTATCATTTTATAATATTTAGTTCAAGATGTATTGTAAATTATGTAAATAAGTTGTTGATAAGTTTGAACTTTTTAAAAGCTGAATTTTAAAATCTATTGTATTTGTAAGTGTAACCATAAGTTGCATCATTTTGACTCTGCATGTTTCTTTGTCTTTCTTCTACTTCTTGTTCATTTTTGTCATTTACTTAATTAATCCTGAGTAAGAATGGAAGTTACATTTTCTTATTACTATTAGTTATTTAACTTAGTTGATTTATAGTAAGTATCTTTAACATAGAAGCTAGAGGTGATTGTGAGTAATTTTGTAATATCAAAGTGTAAAAGTATAACTGATACTGATATTAGCCTAAAATTCATGTCACGTGTCTCTTACAATTTACACTGTAGTGCAGTGTTGGAGTTTCACCTTTGATTTTCTAGAACAACTATCAGATCGCTGCTACGTTGGCAGTGGTGATAAATTTATTGAAGACCAAAAAAAAACGAAAATCGAGTGTTAAATGCTTGTGGGGTGAAAATCACAATTTCCTATTTTTCCCAATGAAACAACATACAGCATATTTTCAAATTATTTGAGTACTTAACTTATAATAAGTTTCAAACTTAAACTAAACTGGTTTTGTCAATATTTCTTTAAAATTCAATGTATAGTAGACACGTTTTTCACTTGAAAAAAAAAAGGCTAAGAATATCTGATTAACTGTGAGGACCACTACTAAACTTCCCCTGTAATTTAAAAAAATATTTCTACAGGTAAAAATAAGAATAGGTTTCTTAAAGTGAAATACTCAGTTAAAAGTTTTCTAGTACTATAGTTTAGTGTTGTAGTGCATTACATTTGTAAATATAATGCATATATATATATATATATATATATTTATTTTTATTTTTTTTCCCCACAGGAAAAGGTTGAAATATTAATTTTAATGTCAATATTTTGTGTTTGTCCTTCTTGTCCAGTATCATTAAGTGATGTATTTAAAACAACACCAAACTGGTTAATATTTTTATTTAGGGTGCAAATATTTTGGGAAAGGTAATCTAAAGAAATTAACTCATATTTAATGACACTTTACTGTGGTCAGAATAACATAAATATAAGTAATTTTAATGACCGCAAAATATTATGAAACATTTGTACAGCATGAATTACCACATTATAGTTCTTACTGGAAAACTTTTTTCTTTTAAATATTGTTAATACATTAGCAACCTTTACATCTAAGCTAATTAAAATAAATACAATCATGCAGTGAGCAGCCCCTCTGCAGAGTGCAATAAACAAATACAGAAGCACGTAAAATTAATGAAAAATAGTAAATGTACATATACTTACTTTCAACAGCCCATAAAATCTCTCAAATACAAATGTATGTATATATGAACTTGTAAATACTCTGATTACATAAGATGCAATTATTTTCTCCCTATTAATTGTATAATCAGTTACTGATTGTATGTCATTTACTTTCATAGATAAATAAATAAATAGATGATGTGTGAAGCAAATGACACAAAATGGAAAGATAATAGAATCATGTAACTGTTACCAACAAAAGGGTAAGCTGAGTGCTGGAATATGGTTATGCCCTTGAAATGTACAGATTAGAAAATTATATTAATAGTGGGATGGACGATGACAGTGTAATGCCCAATATGTTGAATTGGTATTTTGCCGATTCAAAATAACACATTTTTGGCTCACTTTATACTGGAACTTTATTCTTTACAAAATAATGACTAATCGATGAAGTTGAACAATCTTGAATTACAAGAAAACAATAATGAGAAATCATAATAGTAATTACTTGGGTAGTTGGGATAATTGGAAATACTTATTTTGTTTAGTTGATTAGTTTCATGACAATAATAAATTTAGTTGTAATTTGGATTAATAGTTTATTTTACGTGACATTAATTGATGCCCTATGGGCCATGATAATCTTATTCTCCTTTCCTTCAAATAAGTGAAGCGGTATGTGCTGTTAATTTTGTTCTCCATTTGTACAGTAAAGGTGCACCTAAAATAACCACATGCTCGATTCCCTAAGTCTAATTGTATTTGTATAAAATATTAAACTCGTTCTCCAAAATTAATGTATGCAACTTATATTAACCTGTACCTGGTAGTAATTTCACTAGTCATTGTTATGTTTAGTAGTTGTCTGATTTATAATCAAAGTAATGTTTACTAACATTAATAAAAATTCAGTTGTATTATTATAATACCGTAAAATAACAAAATTTAAGGTCAACAAGGGATCTGTTGGTCCATCTGGGCTATCCAATTCACAACACTAAAATAAACAAAGAAAAACACTCAGTCATCTCTTTTTCAAATATTTATAAAGCCTTACCCCAAACTCCTGTAAATGTATTTCATCCACATCTTGAGGCAACTCGTTTCTTGGAGTGGTATTACCCATATTTTCAGCTTGTCATAACATTTCAAGATTAAGAAATATAACTTAATCATAAATTGTTGTACCTAAAGATGTATATCATATTAAACTAAGATAGTTGAAAATATTTTCAAAAATATGTTTCAAAACAGCTGAAAATGGGAAGATTAGTCTCATATGAGAATAATCAATTAGTTAAATGTAATTGGTTAATGAGCCCAATGATTAAAAAATTCTACACTAATTTCCCAGCTCTAGTTGGTCTTCCACTTCATACGTTTATGGACTTTCTTTGACACAGATGCTTTCTCAGTGTTTTTTTTTTTCTTTTCACTTCTCGCCTCACGTGATTAGAATGCCATAGTTAATTCCTTGACTCAACTCTGGAGTTTTACTCTTGTCTTTTTGTCATTGCCATGAAGATGGAAAGTAGGCAAGCTGTCTGAGAGCTGTCCCACTTGAACCATCTTTGGTATTTCCATAATTCAAAGGTGAAAATTTTTCTTACTTTGAGGTAGGGACTTTCCTGGGATATGGACAATGTCTATATTAATAGGTGCATGGATGGGAGTTTTGTTCAAGGCTTATGACATGCACAAAAATCTTCTCAACTGATGCATGAGGTAATAGTTCTGTGGAGAGATGAGTATCTACCTGAAATACATTTTCAGTTAAGGAAAATATTAACATTAGATTAACTGATATATGATATACCTCTAATTTTGTATATTTTTGTTTTTGAAACATAAGAATGATTGAAAGTATTTTTAGCCATAGCATAGCGGCTCATAGAACAGCTCTTGTTTTTGTTTTTTTCAAATACAAACTCTTAGCTCATAGCTCCATCTCTTGATAGATATGAGATCTAATTACAGTTTTGGACCCTTTTGATTAATGTATTTTACCATGACTGTGGTCTTATAGATTAATTTACTCTAATCCTGTCTAAAATAATTTCAATTTGAGGGTAGGCTGATAGAAATCCTGATGAATAATAATATCGAATTGGATATACTTGCTCCCCACACGTGGTATTGCTGGTGCACAAAAATATAGCTGAAAAAAAGGTCTTGTTAATTAGTTTACTCCAATCCTGCCTAAAATAATTTCAAGTGCTGCCGGACTTGAGGATTCCCTCTTGTTAAAATCTGGAAAGATATATTTGCATGTATAGGAACATCACTTAGAAGTGATTTGACACTTTTGGATTTTGATTAATGTGTAGGTTTTTGTATATCTGTGCATCTCAATTTCAAGTTTTCTGAAAGTTTAAACAGTGTGGTTTTGTAATGTATTATACAAGTTTCAATGACTGTTTGTGTGATTAATGTTTAGGCACTATCCATAAAAAGTAGTATTTTAAGTTTATTATTATATAAATATGTTAGAATATTCAACTTGATATTTTTTGTTAATTATTAAATAGAAAGTTATATAACTGTTTTAACTTTCAGTTATCATACAAGTAGTAAATATACAGAAATAAAATAATATTCCTAACAAATTATGAATTATATCCACATTTTTTTGTGTTTCTGTTGTTGTTTGTAAATCATTTAAGGTTTATTGTTTATAAGTTTCAAAGATGACTGACAGATTTTTAGTTATTTTTGTAATATTTTTACAAGGATATGGTAATTTATAACTTTTATATGATTTTTACACAAGATTTTGGACATTTTTCTTTTTTCTTTAATGTTTAGATTTTATTGCTACAGTACACATTTACTTGTTGAGTGTAATGTGTTTTTGGTTCATGGTAAGTGTTATTTTTCTTGCCTTTTAAGACTCTTTGCAATGCTAGAGGTGTTAAGCAACGTATTTGGCCGAAAGAAGCCTCAACAATCCGAACCCTTACCATTAACCATCATTGAAGACAAACCAGAGACAGTTGATGGGTTTGTTATTTTGGGACGCACATCAGTAGATGAAAGAGCAGTTACAGAAAACAAGTGCAGCTCTGTAGATCAGTCTCTTCCTGTACAGGTAATGTATTTTGTGTAACTTAATTACTTTAAGTACACAGTGACTGTTCTGAGCTTATACTAATATAAGTACACAGTGACTGCTCTTACTTTATGCTACTTTAAATACAAAACAGCTGTTAACTTGTATTACTTTAAACACACGTTACTCTCAATTTATATTACTTGAAATATAAGTGAGTATTCTTAGTTTGTACTACTTTAAATACATGTGACTGTTTTTAGATTATACTACTTTAAATACAAAATGACCATTCTTAGCATATACTACTTCAAAAACGTAGTGAGTGTTTTTAGTTTATAGTATTTTAAATACACAATATTCCTACTTAATACTACTTTAAATTCATGCTATTTTTAGTTTATGCTACGTTAAATATATAGTGACCATTCTTACTCTAAGTGAAACCCAAACCTTAAAAATCTTCAATGTCTACCAACCCCCAAGCAAACCTGGAACAAACCTCGATATTCTAACCCATCTCATTGACAAAAATACTATAATTGTAGGACACCTAAATAGTAAACACATTTTATGGGGACATAGCATAACTCAGGGTTTCTCAGAATTTTTATCACTTGCGATCCCTTTGAATCAGACAAAGTTTTTCGCGATCCTTCACTTAATGTCATAAAAGCAATAGGTACTAACACTATGTATAATAGTCTTTAGTCATAATCTAACAGTAACTAAATGTAGAAACAAGTAAATACCAAAGAACATTTTACTAAAGACTAAAGAAGATAAGAAATAAGATTACCAAAGTGAATACCATTGAGACGTTTTACAATATATATAAGCACCATAAGGAGTACATTTTTGTATAGAGATAAAAAAAACTGTAGTTACCTAATTATTTATGGAAAAAAATTTTTTTTCAAATGTTTCTGCGACCCCCCAATAGTATTTATGTGACCCCCCTGAGGGGTTGCGACCCCTAGTTTGAGAAGTCCTGGCATAATGGATTCCAAAGGAATACTCTCTGGTATTACCTTGTTAACTTATGACTAATAATCATGAATTATGGTAACTCCTACTCGTATGAAACCCTAGACGTTCTTGACATGACTATAGTGTATAGTGACTATGGTGGAACACTTTTCAAGGTATTGGAAGTGATAATCTTTTTTATCTTAATCACTTCAAAACTTTCATCAACAGGAAGAAAGATACTATTGGAACTTAAATAAAACCAACTATTCAAAACTCATGTGGATGTATTTTTAAAAATGACCAATGATATAGAAGACATTGAAAATGATTGGAACAACTGCAAAAACTGTTGAAAACTGCTAAATACAATATACCTGGAGGAATAAAAAAACAACTGGTTTTCAGGTTATAATTAAATTATTGATAACCTGGATGAATCAATAAAGAAAAGGGGAGGACTCTATTGGTTACTACAAGAAGAAAGCAAACTTGCATTAGCTAAACACGAAAAAAGATAAAGGAGAAATTTCTGCTCCCAGTTTGACTCAAAATCAAATCATTGGGTTACAATCCAAGCACCGTCAAAAATGAAGGGGGAAAGATATGTTAATACAATCAATTCATCATTATTGATTAAAATTTTTTGACCTTGTAGAGTGTACAGAATATCACTCTAAGAGGAAATCTGGCCAGCTGCAGCAAAACTGTAACCGGCCCTACTATTGCCTGCAGAGAGGAGGGAAAGGAAGGGGAAAATATAACAACTATAAGAAATATTAAAAATGCTTATTTTTGTACACCTCATATTATATTATGACACATTGAATATATATAGGCATGAATATATATATATACATCTTAAAATTTTATTAATCAAAACTATTTCAAATAGGACAGTATTGCTATTATACAGATTTATGTCCATGATGTACGTAAAGAAATAAGATTATTAAAAATTGTTAATTTAAAAATGGGGGAATAGGGATCTTCAAAAAATTATAGAAACAACATAGACAGCTTAAAGTGAAAATGCAATTGCCAAAAAAAGTCAACAAACAAGCTTAAGGTTTGAGACATGGTGTTGATATTATTTCATCAAGCTACAAATCCCTATTTTGACACTCCAAATTTTAGAGCCAGGTAGGGTGGCAACAAGTAAACTATTAGTGACAAAGATGTATTTTAGATCATGAATGGATTATGCCTGTAAACATTTCAGTAATGCAACAGCATTGTGGCAGAAAGTTTTATGGACAGATGAGACCAAAATAGAACTTTTTGTGTTAAATAACAAATGGTATGTATGGCAGAAACCCAACACTGCTTATGACCCAGCAAATACAGTCCTAACTGTCATGCATGGTGGTGGGTCCATAATGCTGTGGGGATGTTTTTCTGCAGCTAGTACTGGAGAACTTGTATGCATTCGAGAGATTATGGACAATGCAAAATGTACACAGATACTGGAGGTAAACCTGAAGAAGTCAGCTAAAGAACTAAAACATGGTTGAAGGTTTATATTTCAACAGGACAATGATCCCAAACACAGATCAAAGGCAACCCAAGAATGGTTTTGGAGAAACAAGGTTAAAGTCCTTGACCGGCCAAGCCAAAGTCCAGACCTAAATCCACTTGAAAATATGTGGATAGACTTGAAAATTGCTGTTGATCGATGACATCCAGCATACTGTTCAAAGCTTGTGGAGGGTTATTCAAAATGACTTTCAGCTGTCATTGCTGCCAAAGGAGCTTCAACCAAATGTTAACTGCATAATCATGTTAGGGGATGAAGACTTTTGCAACATGTGTTTTCAAGATTTTTTGTGTTATATCACTAAAGTGAGTAACAATGCACCTTTTGTTCTTTGTAATCATTAGAAACTGGTCTGAGATTAATATGATAAATATTTTTGGCCATTTGAGTTATGTCTTTCACAAGAAAATAACTAATATTCATTACCAGCACAGGAGGTTGAAGACTTTTGCAACATGTGTTTTCAAGATTTTTTTGTGTTATATCACTAAAGTGAGTAACGATGCACCTTTTGTTCTTTGTAATCATTAGAAACTGGTCTGAGATTAATATGATAAATATTTTTGGCCATTTGAGTTATGTCTTTTGCAAGAAAATAACTAATATTCATGACCAGCACAGGAGGTTGAAGACTTGCAAGGCACTGAATAAAAGATTGAGCCTTGCAACCTAAACATAGAACAGGACAACAAATTAGAGAATGGAAACAAAAAACTAGAATAAAACAAAAATTTCCAAAACAAGAAATAAGAGAACACTTTCCTGATATTATGCTAATTGAAACAAAGCAAATACTCAAAACCTGCACCACACAGGAACAGAAATATCCAAATAATAAACACTAACCTGGAGAAGATTTAAGGAAAGTCGCATGAACATCAAGTATGTCTCAGATCTCTGAGTCTAGAACTCATCAACAGCATTGACAAGGATGCTATTATTATCTATATGGATGACTCCCTCCTAGAAGATGGAGGTTCTGGAAGAGGAATATATTATACATCTTCAGAATCCAACACTAGAAATGTCACATACCAACCTAATTGGCACTCCCATTTTCGAGACTGAACTCATTGCTGAAAAAGAGGTTATCTCCCTCTTATATAAGATTTGTCCCATAAAATGTACAGTATTATCAGATTTACAAGCTGCAATCAAATAGGTTTTAGCAGTAACTTATAAATTCTCATTAAAATTGCAAGAAATTTAAGCAAATTACACAAGTCTACTGAAGTCAGGATTCTTTGGAGTCCCAGAAAATGAGAAATCTGATGTCCTGGCAATGGAAGCAGTTATGAACTAAAGTCCCAGAAATAAAAACCAAATGACTCGGAGAAGATTCTAAGTTTAGTAAATGTACACTATATGCAAACACTAAAGAGGAAACTGATGGAGGAATTGTATAAGAAAATAAATCACAGCTGGTGCTCAGGAAGTAAACCTGGCACCACAGTCACAAACAGTTTAAATAAACAAAATACAACCCTCATAGCAAGACATAAATCCAGACACTTCAGGCATATAAAATTTCAAAATGGAATAAAAACCCACTCTGCCTGTACAAAATGCAGTAGAGAGGAAGCAAGTGCTAACCATGTACTAATGTGTTTAGAAACTACATCTGATGAACTTTATAATGACTCGGAGAAGATTGTCAGTTTAGTAAATGTACAATCTTTTCATGACCTGATCTAATGATCTAGGGATAAGAAAAAACTACAACTTTAAATACATATCGACTATTCTTAGTTTATAGTATATTAAATATGTTATTCTCACTTTATATTACTTTAAATACATAGTGACTGTTCTTAATTTATACTACTTTAAATACACATTGACTATTCTTATATTTATGCTACTTTAAATACGAAGTGATTATTCATAGTTTATACTACTTTAAATATGAAGTGACTACTCTTAGCTTAAGCTTCTCTAGATACATACTACTTTTAAATTTAGTAATTTAAATAGAAAATGACTGTTCTTAATTAATACAAATTTAAATATAAAGTGACTGTTTGTAGTTTATACCATTTTAAATACACAGTAAATATTTTTAGTTCATAGTATTTTAGATACACACAATTCTGAGTTAACTATAGATACAAAGTGACTATTCTTAGTTTATGTGCTTAAAGTATCATTAAACAGTGAGGTACCTAACTTATGAAACAATGCATTATATTCTTTATTAAAAAGGATGTAAGAAAAGTATACTTAGTTAGCTGTAGTCATTACCAGTACCAGGTTGATTTTTGTTTCTCTCTAATCATGTAGCTAGCTCTGGTTTGAAGTTCATATTAATTGATAGAAATGTAGGGAAAAAACTCTTGTAACATGAAATTTTGTAATTTTCCTCATCATTTCATAACATACTTATTTCATGTTCATGACACCTTTCTAAAATTTTGTGTCACAATGCAATGTAGTTGAAATTATTAAGTTGCAGTAATACACTGTTTATAGTAAGTATAGTAACAAGGTATTCTAAAAATATTTTGCATGATTATTTTTTTGATGATTCTGTTATATAGTAATTATTTCTTTTAATTTAGCCATCTACTTCAAGATGTGAAACTCATCTGTCAAAAGGTGTTTGTGGAGTAGACGGGGTTCCCTTCACCGTACATGCATCGTTAAATAGTCAAGATCAAATTACTGATGTTTTAAGCGATGTATTTCAGTGTACTGAAAATCTGGAGAAGTATGACAGCACCAAACAGTTGACAGATAAGCGTTACAGTTTCAGTATGGAACGATCTGTTTTGAACGAGACAACTACTGAGAAGTAGTATGTTTTTAAGGTCTTACTGTAGGTGATACGTCTGTAGTTTTTTTTAAAGTCTGCAGGTAACATCACCATAAAGAATATATATTTTACTTGAAATGTATTCGTCTCTTATGTATAGTGATCAACAAGAATTGGGCATCTTAGGTCAAATTTACTTTTGGTTACAAACATGAAAGAGATGAAAAATAATTAATACTCAGGTGCTTTGAAAAGGACTAAATAGAGAACAAAATTTAAATTTATTGTATGAACAAATTTAACTGGTACTTGGCAGATTAAAAAAATTTGCATGTTACTGATTACATTAATAAGATTCATACATCTTCTCAAAAGGAAAACAAATGTATACCTTGTGTAAATGTTGAGTAGTGAAATAATTGAGTGAAAATAAAGCCAACATTATATCAGATATTTGGAAAAAATGTGTAAGACTTTAATTTCAACTTTTATGAAGGTAGAAGACATTCTGTCGTAAAACAGCTCTGTTTTTTGTTTTTTTATCTGATGGTTATTTCAAGCATACGTTAGCCGTGAACTGCCCAAACACGTGAAATGAACTAGAACCAAACACATGTACACGATTGTCCATGGCATCTGGTTTTGTCCTAAGGAGGTTGGAAGGGGTAGTCAAAGAGACATGCGAGAGAATTGTCGACCTCAGATCAGACGAGAGTACCCGCTGAATTTAAGCATATATTTGACTGTGTCCAGAAAAAGTACACATTTTAAAGTGGCCCCACAACAAGGACAAAATCTGGTGATTACCAAATAATGAATGAATTTATTTAAAAACTAATGAAAAAGTTTATGTTCCAATAATCCCTTTTCACATATGTTCAATGTAGGTTCCACGTTTACTGATAACACCCTAAATTTGGATTGCCATATTGTTCATCACTTCAGTGAATGTTTGTAGGGGATATATTGAACCTCCTGTCAGATATTGTCATTAAGATCATTAATAATCCGAGGCTTGGGGTCAGCATAAAATCTGTCTTTTAGATAACCCCATAATAGACTGGACAATATTAGGAAAATTTTTGAAGAGGGGGATAACTCATAGTAGAAACTGCCAACATATACCAAAAGTTAGGTCATTTTCTCTTTTTTAAAGAAAATTTATGTTGGCATCATTATAAAATGATTTTGCTACTTGTTTAAACCTTATGTATCAGGGTCCCTTTATGTCAGTAAACAAAATGTTGGGCTAATATATATGGACATAATTTGATCAGACATGTTAAAAGCAAACTGTTTTAGTCCATGAAATAACATAAACACTCATGTTGATGTGTATCCATTGGACTCGTATGTCTTCCTCTTTACCTTGTGGAAGCTCGTCATTTTCTCCATTAGTCTATCGACGAGGAATGAATTTGATCATTCTTACCCCATTGCTGTTGCAGTGAGAAGGCCCTCAGCAATATCATCTGTAGCAATGTCACCACTAAAGATGTTGATCAGACTCGGTGATGTTGTTTTGAAGACATGGCGACCTTTAAATTCTTCCTTCAAAAACATAACATCAGCTTTATCACATTTTTTCTGGGAGGACCCCAGGTCTTTGTGGCCCAATTCATTGTCATCAATTACATCTGGTTCCAAGCCAAACATGGTCCATGTTGTATTCATGATGGGGAACTCAAAGGTTAATAATGAAGATGGGTGATAAAACATAAAATATTTTATTTACAAGGTTTGAACGTTTCGGAATAACTTGTTCCATCTTCAGGTAAATCTGAAAATTGTGTTACCAAGATGATTATTACTAAAATTATAACATAATAACTTAATCATTAGTTTACTTAGTTAATAATAAAAGTGGTAAATGGATGGGTAAAACATTGTTTATATATATAACACAACAGCTGAGTTGAGTGTGAAAATTTAGAACAATTTTAGATCTAAAGAGCTTTGTGGGTCGTTAAGCGTCGGGCAGTCTTTAGCTATGAGTAGACTTTTTTCAATGTACAGGTCAAGGTCTGAAAATCCTGTGGTGATAATAGAGAAATTTTTAAATGAAATATTGTGACCTGTGGTTTCATAATGTGAACGAATGGATGGGTTTAAATGGTGGATGGTTGGTTCTGTTAGATACTCCTAAATGTTCACAGACTCTAGTTTGTAAGTGGCATTTTGTTTTACCAATGTACATGACCTTATAGTCACTACACATATATTTATACACGAGCCATGAATGCAGAAGTTAGATACTTGACCTCTGTGCTGAAATAAGTGTTTAATGTGGAGGCTAGGTCTGTATATTATTCTAAGCTAAATTGGAGGGTAGAAGTTTTTTTTATTAAGGAAGAGAGTTGTTTTTCAATTGAGAACCCATAAAAGGAAGAGAAATAATGAGGAGAATTTGGGGACAGTGTGAACATTGGCTGGTGGTTGGAATTTGTCGTTTAGGAAATTGCATGTAATCTTCTTTAGAAAATCAGTCAGATAGCCATTATTTAACATGAGTTTATGTATAAGGGTAATTTCTTCATGTAAAATAAAATAATTAGAACAAAAAGTAAATATTCTGTTTAACAATGATATAACCAGATTACATTTGAAGAAGTTGGGGATAAAACTATTCAAATTGGTGTAGAGGCCACTAAAAGTTATTTTACGATAAACAGAGGTAGAAATGTGTTTACCTTCTTTGGTAATCCTGAAGTCTAGGAATGGTTAAGAATCATTTTCCTCGAGTTTCGATGTGAATTAGATATTGGGAATTAATGTAAGAAAGGAACTTGGAAATGTTGCTTAATTGTTGAAACAGAAAGAAAGTTCTGGTAACTCTTTAATAACAGTGGACTTTATTAATCACATGATAAAGGCTTTTGAAATCTTACAGCTATGTGTTTTTAACGTATGCATGAATTGATTCAGCATTAGCAACTGTACACCCATACTTATATTATTATAATCTTTATATATCATTTTCTCAAGTAAATATGACATTTTAGATAGTTTTGTGCTTCCTGGGCACACATTTTGTTTTAATTGAAGACTACCAGAAGCCTTTGTATAAAATATAATTCTGCCAAAAGTGTTTTGCTGTTTCTGCACTGGGCTACTTGCATTGGGTGATCTCTGCAGACAAAGCTGCTGCAGTATTGCCAACTATTTTGATTTTAATGCCTTTTTTTTTTCTTGGACAGAATTTATATTGACATATTGTTCCCTCTTCAGGTGCTTCATGATATATGTGTACCTCATCTGGAACCAGTGTCTGTATTGGGGGTTTGTTTGTGCAAACCAAAAGAGGTTTCTGACTGTTCTTGTTACTAGGGGCATCAAAAGTTGATAAAAAGTATTCTGAAATATTTTATGACCATTTTATCAGTGATATAAATGTCTCCCTTCGTAGTGTTGTAAAGAATAATGTTGACTGGTTTAAAAGTAACATCTTCATTTCTAGTCTTTGTATCATGATGCTCCATTGATAGAACAGCCACTATCTTGTTTGTATTCATAATGTAGGTGCATTGTTTTGCCAAAGTGATACCACAAAGAGGAGCTCTTGTGCTGATTGCAAACTGGTAAAAATGTTTTAAGCTATTATGCCATAGCCCTATTCCAAGCATCAGGTAAGATCAAGCACAACTCCTTTTTTTCTCGCTATTTCTCAGGCTTTTGTTCTTGTTTTCCCAGGTAACCTGAATGTTCACCGTGTAAGGTGTGCTGACATCACATAGTATCCATATTTTCATTTCATACATTCCTGGTTTGGATTTCATCTATATATATACTGTAAAGGAGCAACTGTCTTGAGATTTGACAAGTTGTTCGTCGACAGTGAGATAACTTCTAGGTGTATAGTTTTCTCTGCTGTGTTCTTAATGTAGAAAGTTAGTCAAGGAAACCACTGCATCCCTCTTACCTTAGTTACTCACGGAACTGGGTGAATGGACAAGGACATCACATTACTTCCTTAATGAAACGATTACTGTAGCATATCACATGCTATAGATTGTGTCAATGATCTTTTTCACTGGTAAGTTCAAGCTATGCCCCAAGGACAAAATTCCTCGTTAGACAGTGAGGATGACTCTCAGTCACGTGGATGGTACCAGAACCCTCAAAACATGACATTATTGTTTTCCATATATGGTGTTAGAGAAATCAGGTATGGATCCACTATACATTATCTGGCGAATCTTCAGATATATTGTGACTCCTATCCGAATTCTCAATGAATCTGAAAATACTGCAGCACCACTACTAGTCGCTCACTAGTTAGTAGTTTTTTAGTGCAACTTTATTTCTGATATCTGTAGTAATGCCACTACCACCTACTAATATCCGCACCTTTAAAAGGATATTAATAGGTATAAGTTTCCTTAATGTCTTCGCTACGTTCAGCTGTTCACATCTGCTGAAGATGATGACTTTCTGAATGCAGAAGCATCATACATTTTGGGCTGATGTTGTAGTTTACAAATTCGTCTCACACGTATTGACGCAGGAACAAGTTCGTAGTGGGGATACTGAAAATCATAGAACAAAATCGAACCTCTTTGTATGACGGGAACCACGTATGCTCATCACCCTCGTACGTCGAACTAGGGATGCTGCCGCATCCCTAGTTCTCGTGCCCCTTGTTCATTCCGAGAAAACTTAGGAGGAGAAATGAACCAACTAAAGTTTTCCAATTGTTTCACCGTGACGTTTAGGAGAAGCAACGTGGACACCTTTAATCAGAGAAAAAGTAATACTTAACTCAACCAGACAGGAGGATCGATAAGGGAAGCAGGCCAAAGGGGAACTAGTGTAAAACACTCACCATGTTCTCACCGTATCACGCTACTTAAAAAACAAATGTACAAACTAAAAGGCCTTCCTTATCACTACCATTCTGAGAAAAAGTGATATTTATATCATTTAAATACTTTACCAAACAACAATGCCCTCTATTGGCCATACGCAAGTGCAAGAAAATAATAAAGAAAACAGTATTAAATATTTAAGTTTGTCATGGCAATTTACAAAATGATAATATGATTCACACGTTTCTAGCTACTGACTAAAATGACAAAGTCCTTTATTTATTATCTTTTCCAGGAATCAAATGTGTTTGCCAATCATATGTTTTGTTGTTCATTATGACTAAGTAAGATAATATTTATCATCATCTTCAAAAATATTATTAACTTCTAATCAAAGCAAGCAACATCCTGTTCTTACTTTAATGATTAGAATGCATTACGTAATAAGCGGGGACCTAGCAGTTAACGATATTATCTACCATAATTCCAGTATCATTTTACGAGGTTCAGCCTGCCTGGGAGGTTCAAGCTAGTCTTAAATCCATATGCTAATAACGCAAAATAATCTGTATAATAAAGTATTAAAAAATAGAATAGATACACTAAACTTTTGTAAGGTTAAAGAAAGAACAGAATATAATCTACTTA